TTCTAGGAATTTTAATGCAGTATAAAAACTCGCATCTCTCGTTCGAATTATCGTTGTAACAGGTTCTTTGATATTGTTTGTGTGTTGTAAAGTACATTAAAAAAATGAAAAAAATTGATTTTATTTATAATTTTTTGGAGGAATAAAAAGGATATTCCCATCAAATTAAAAAAAATATCCATTACTATATTTATTACGTCATACACGTATTATTACGTCAAGTTCAAAATAATAATTTGGGATTTGTAAATTAAACATTAATTAGATCGCGAACACACGAAATAAGTGATTAACATACTATTATTGTATTTTATCGATTATTGTTACGTAAACAATCGTTCCGAACGTCTGAAATTAATTATTTGTCGGCAAAACTGCGGTATGGGTAATACTTATAGAGTAATAAGTATATACAATTATGGGCTGAATTTATACAAGTTGCTTTAATTAAGAGATTTAACATAATCAAAAAACTTAATAAATATTTTGAAATCAGGTTGCTCGAGTATCTTAAAATTAAGGCAAGCGATAAACATTTAATATTTTAGGACACATTTTTACACAGGGTTTTCCAAAACTAAGCAATGCTTGTGCTCTGTGTACTAGATAACTAGTCTTCTTCTTCGTGGTCTTCATTACTACAGGTCGTGTCCGTCCTGAAAAATTTTAAGTGAATCGGCGACGAGCTGCTTCCACACCACTCTATCTTCGGTTTTCTTCAAGGCAGTGGAAACAGGAAGCCCGCTTCAGCTTATAAGCTTCACTTGATCAGACCACCGGGTAGGTGATCGCCCAGGTGGTCTTTTGCCATCCACTTTCCCAACTACAACTACTTTTTCAAAATTATCCGGCTGCCTGCGGGCGATAACTGGTAAACATACTTAAACACACTTTTCTTTTCTACATAAATACATATTTTGAATTATATAAAAACCCAAACACGGGAAAACCAATATGTTAATTACACGATAATTTTCCAGTTGTGGAAATCTACTATCACTAGGCCAATAGGTTGGTTGCAAAATAAAATAATAACTATATATTAAGCTTTAATTGTGCCGAAAACACAGGCAAGATTTTATATATGCCAGTGGGTGCAATGCAGCAGATTTATGTAATACATAAAGTTTGAAATGAAACATAATCCCAAAGGGACCCACAAAATTTGTCTATTCACTGCACAGCGAAATGGAGTTTTGCTCGTGTTGCGAATTTTTGCATGAATTGAGCAGTTTTTAGCAGAATTGTTGTAACTCCGTCATATCCTTGCCTGCTTAACTATTCCTTTTTTGAATGTAATTGCCTTGCAATACAGTGCTTTGATTTCCCCTTTTTTGATATATCCTTATGAATATTATAAACGCGAAAGTTTGTATGTATGGATGATGTTTGTTACTCTTTCACGAAAAAACTACTGAATAGATTTTAATGAAACTTTTTTATAGCTTATACATCAGAATAACACGTAGGCTATAATTTATAAAGAATAATTTATAGAGAATGTGAATTGTCCAAAATATAGGTAGTGATGTGTCAACTAAGTAGTAAAAAATTCAGCCATCTGCAAGATAATAATAATAACTAAATAAATTCCCTTTGGCTGCGCGGGCGAAGTCACGGCTAATAACTAGTCGTTATATAATCGTAAACAATATACGCATTTGCTAAGTGAAAGCATTAAGTATCATTATTTTCTCTCTAGTAGGGTTCAAATATTCGTTCTTTAGTTTTACATTTTGATCTGGCTCCTTCAAATCGAAGATACATTAAAAATTAAATGCTATGGATGGTGATAATTTTTCAATAGTCACACAACAGTCAAAGAATAATAAAAATAAAATGACGAGGAATATGTACATAGTTGACCCACACTTTGAACTGATGTATGTTCATAGCAGTTATTAATAATGAACTAGTTCCAGTTTAAATAAAACAGATTTACCCGCTTTATAACTCACGGGTGCAATGCTGAATTTTTTTTCGACATCACATTAGAAACCTCTAAGCTTATCAGTGTTTCTCTACTATATTATGCATGAATTATACATATAAACCTTCCTCTTGAATCACTCTATCTATTAAAGAAAACCGCATCAAAATACGTTGCGTAGTTTTAAAGATGTAAGCATATAATCAAGGGCAGACAGATATCGGGACGACTTTGTTTTATACTATGTAGTGAAACGAGTTATAGCCAAGAAACAAAGTGAGTAGTAACTCTTTTCTCTGATAACTAGCGCAATAGCTTAATTTGTAATAGCTAAAAGAATATCGCGAGTTCGAATATTTGTTATACTTTTTTCTATTTTTAGGGTTCCGTACCTTTAAAAAAGGAACCCTTATAAGATCACTCTCCTGTCCGTTTGTCTGTCCATGTATCACCACCAATTTTTTTGTTAATATTTTATAATGCTAGACAACAATGTCACTGTTACGAGAATAGTTTAAAAACATTGATTGTCTAAATTCTTAAGATTTTTGATTTCAATCAATATTTTTATAAAGTATTGCCAAGCTGTTTGTTGTCGTCTAAGTAAGTAATTAATCCTTTGTTGTTTCAAATGTAAATGATTTCTTTATGAAATTAATATTATTATAAGAATTTCTTTCATACAAATAGGAAGGATTTTTTTTCTATTTCAGTTTAATTTCCAAATGTAAAGAGGTTTCAGAATAAAATTATATTAGTTTGCAATCGTATTATTAGTATCTCCTTATCGTCTTATTTCATGTGATCAAGTTACTTTAAAATTATACTTTTTATTTACAATAATTGTGACCATCCCTTACGTAGTCCTGCCATTTATCCCTTCGTTTATCCTATTTGTCCCTCTCTCCCTCTCTCTTTCACAAATAGAGCGGATAGAGGCACAATGGGTCCCAAAAATTTCATTTGTCATGCGCCTAGAAATATTTGTTAGCGACTAGCTGCTAACCGTGGCTTCTTTTGCGCGGATTTTTTGAATTAAACAATGAGTTTTTATTATACACCAGAATATATGGCTGATGGATGATTTTTTTTGTACTTAGTTCACACTTATCATTACCTATATTTTGGACAATTCACACAATATATTTATAAATTATAGCCTATGCGTTATTATGATGTATAAGATATATTATTGTAAAGTTTCATTAAAATCTATTCAGTAGTTTTTGCGTGAATCCATACATACAAACTTTCGTGTTTATAATATTACTAGCCGTGCCCGCGACTTCGTGCGCGTGGAATTTAAAATAAATAAAAATTCTAAAATAAAAGTAGCCTAAGTTATTTCTTATTACATCAGCTATCTGTCAGTGAAAGTCCCCTCCAAATCGATCCGGCCATTTCAGAGATTAGCCGGAACAAACAGACAGATAGACAGACAGACAAAAATTGTAAAAAATGTTATATTGGTATATGTACCGTATATACATCCATATACATTTAGTAAAAAGCGATAATTTTAATATTACAAACAGACACTCCAATTTTATTTATCTGTATAGATAACACTTTCATCCACCTATGGCGAACCTTCTCTTTTATATGTAGTGACTGAAGTAAATCTTAGTATTATTCGTCGAAGCTAATATTTTTCCATCAATGGCAATATTGTTCTTAACTATACAGTGGGAAGTGCACAACAAAGAGAATGTAATCACTACGTTTGGTATACAATATACGAAAATAAAAAATGTTTAACCTTAATAGGGAGTCACGTATAGCAACAAGCTCATTTTATAGCTAATTTTGGTGGACTGCTGGTGAGAGGGAATTACAAAAATTCATAATTATTTATAAACAAGAATAGAAATTAATGGCTTACCAGGATAGATATAAAAATCAGTAATTATGGTCCAAAATCAAAAAAAGATTTTGGACTGAAATTTTCTTTTTCGTATTTTTTTTAGTAATTAAAATCCATTTTTAAAATAAACAGACTATGAACGTTTGCATTTGGGCTCTATTCTATATATCTATTCTATAAAAAATCCATTTATATCATTTCGCAAAGTTGTATTTTTTTGTACGCCGTAACTTTTCTAACTGTTCATTAATGGTTAATGTATCTAACACCGTTTATCTCGTGTTCGCCAATATTCACGAAAAATAAAATAAAATAATGCTATTACTTTCATAAAAACATTTCATTTAAAATTTCCCTTGTAAACGTAATTCACTGCCAAATTACCTTTGGAAGCAGACTGAAAAGCGTTATTCTTCAAAATAACGAACCTTTCATCAATCAATACTTATTTGCACATTATTATTATATAACAGTCGACGTCCAGTGGTCGAAATCGACCATAATTATACATGGTAATGTTTTTTTATTGATTTAATCTATTTTTATGCATAATTTGAAAAAAAATATCTACCTACTCTATATAAACTATAAGTGTGGGAAATTTCAAACTCCTCCGTCCGCGCAATTTTCGTAAAAATGGGTACAAAGTTATATATTAGTTGCTTCACGTATTAATATATAGATTATTATTCGGTGACGGTGTGACATATACTATGTGCTAAAATTTCTCACGTGTCGACTAACTAGTGTATTTTATATTGTCGATAAATTTATTGACTTCATCTTCATCATCATCATTTCAGCCCTTTTGAGTCCACTGCTGAACATAGGCCTCCCCCACAGACTGCCCCGAGCACGATCCTGAGCCACCTGCATCCATCGACTTCCCGCACACTTGCCCTTATTGACTTCTTAGTAAAATATTTTTATAGTGTCGATTGGTTTGTAGGACAAGTCGGTATTTTCACTTGACTGTTCCATCTTTTAGTGGGTTAAACGGGCTACGGATAAGATTGATGAAATGACGAAATACGTTTTAAATCGACAAGACACTTCTTTAATGATTCGATAATTAACAATCACTAATTGAATTATTCACTGATCACACACATTGTTTTCTTAAATGACGTTCCACCGGAACACGTGGGGGCGCGTGCGCAACGTCTTTGCTTCACAACCGCTCAATGATGACTGACCCACGAGAAAATGGCCGCCTCCCCAGTGCTCGGTGTTACGTCAACTGTCAACGGTTGACAGCTAGGGTTTAAAAGAATGAACGAATGAATGATGAACGAATATAGACGATTGTGTTTCATGATTTCATAGACGCGCCGTCACGGTCAACCCTGACTGTCGCACGACCTCGTGCGCTTAGTCGTCCTGATAAGGGTCACCTGAAAAGTGAAGACATTAGTAGACCATTCCTGACAGTTATGCAGTCATGAACTGACCACCTATGGTTTCTATAGTTTCAGCGTGGACCGGGCATACGGGGCCCCTTCGACCAGCTTGCCATTGCTTTCAGACTTGGCTCGGGCACACAAGGCCCTTTCAACCTTTGCCATACAAGATTCTCAGTAAAACGTATGGCGTAGCCTGGGCATACTAGGCCCTTTCGACCCGCCGTACATAGCTACACCAGGCATACTAGGCCTCTTCGACCAGCCGTACAGAACTAGGGGGCGTGGACCAGGCACACTAGGCCTCTTCGACCAGCCGTACAGAACTAGGGGGCGTGGACCAGGCATACTAGGCCTCTTCGACCAGCCGTACAGAACTAGGGGGCGTGGACCAGGCATACTAGGCCTCTTCGACCAGCCGTACAGAACTAGGGGGCGTGGACCAGGCATACTAGGCCTTTTCGACCAGCCGTACAGAACTAGGTGGCGTGGACCAGGCACACTGGGCCTTTTCGACCAGCCATATCCAACCAAAGCAAGCGCACAAGGCGCATCAGGTCTTATTGACCAGCGTAACGTAAGCTCAGCTAACTATAGTATCCACTCGTATTGGCAAATTCAAGGGGTTCTTCTAAGTGTTCACTAGAAATCTTGCGAACCCACACTGTTCCTGTAATAATGCTTTAGTTTACGTGACCTTCAATTTCAGAAACAACTGAAAGAGTATCGGATCCGGTGGTCAAGGTTCACTTGGAATCGAGACAGTGTCGCTATCGCTATCAACTAATCATGTACAAACTCAAACTAACAATGTCAAACTTCAGTAAGGCCCTCGAAACCTCTCGGTACTAAACGCAAGTTTTCGAGTGAGTATTTATAGACGCGGCTACCACCTGAAATAAATTTCAACTTATATCTGTCGTTACATCGATGTACCATCTTCCCTGATCAGCTATGACTCTTCTAGGTGCCCCAAATAGCGAGACCGCCTTTCAAGGCTTTCACCGCACATGCAGCATCTAGAGACTGAGTCAAAATCAAAATCAAAAATATATTTATTCAAATAGACGCTTGCGCGCTCCTATGAATCGTCAAATTTTACATCAAAGACTGACGGAAAGCAGCTTCTGCTGAGAAGAGACCGGCAAGAAACTCGACAGTTGCTCTTCTTTTAAACATTTCAGAGTACAATATAATATACAGGTACAACAGTCTTATTCTATCCAACGTGAGTATCAACAGTACCAACTCCACACATTGGCGTCGTCGAAATATTCCGAAATGGTATAATATGCTTTAATTATAAGTTGATTTTTAATTTTACATTTAAATTGGTCAAGCGGCAGACTTAATATCGACTGCGGGATTCCATTATACATGCGCACACTTTGCCCCATGAACGACCTATTCACTTTTTGTAGACGAAACAATGCCGTAGTAAGTTTAAGAGTGTATTCTAATAATACGTATTCGGTGAATCCGTCTATTATAACCGACGCGTGTTCTTTTCGGTCACTTTCCACTAAGCTTTCCTGTCAAATCAATGTGAATAGTATGCCAAGGCGTGCCTACTCTAAGTATCGGCCCTAATTGATCTTGTACTTTACCAATCTTAACTGCAAACGAAACCTATTCTGTTTATCCTCTAAAAGGGAAATCTAATATGGTCCAAAGCTAATCTTAAAAACTATTTACAGAATGCCTTTCACTATAGCTACGCGAAAATGAAATGCAGAAAAGAATAAATTAATTCAAAAAGGACAAGAATCCTTCTGAAACTAATAAAAAAAATATAACTTGATCAAGCACCAGATTACACTTTCCTGATCCACACAAGTACATTAGCTAACTTCTTCCCCATGGGAAGCCAGGGTCAACCCTCGACTATGATCTCGCTAGAAGACAAGATCAGACTGTATTACTCAAAACTACCGTCTATCCCCTACTCACGGACTATTCAAAGAGGAGACGCTGATTTATACTAGGCTACGGTTACGGCATTCTAGTACAGTCTCTGACCCAATGAATCGTGAACCTGTGTATTTATTTACGAACTTATTAAGTACCTCGCGCTCGGGCATGTTCCTGATAAGGTTCTTAATACGCCCATGACATACGATTTAACAAACAGAAAGGAAACTATGAACTCATTTGGCATTTTCAAAGTCAAAATTTCTTTATTCAAAATAGGCTTATTTAAAGCTCTTATTTATTCAGCAAAATCATCACGTCAAAAACTACCACGACGCACGAGTCTGCGAGAAAGTAATGCCCCGTTTTACTATAACCGGCATCAGATCATCACTTAACCCTCTAATTAGTTAATTATTAACCATCTAAATAGTTAATTCTGGCCAAATTTGCTACTGGGGGCGCACCTTCCACTTCATTGTTTAGCAGAAGCATACATAGATCCGTTGGTTCAGTAAGATAGTAAACCTTGCGCATACGTAAATAAATTTTCGTCATCCATCTCTTGTTGTAAAATAGTCAGAGAAAACTCTTAAAACTAATCAAACCATGATAATCCCTTCGCCTGAAGAGATTCTTTCGCCGCTTAGTCCTTACTACGTGTATTTTACTCAACACGTAGACTGTATACATACGCGTGAGACATCCTATACGCAGACCACATTCATGCGTATCGCATGTGGCAGCAACCTAATGGCGAGCTCACGCCATTAGGTTGCTGCCACAAAGCAAGCGCACGTGGCTACTAGTTTACTCAGCAGCGAAGAATGCAGCATTCTGAAGTCCACTCTCCGCACCATAGCGCCATGTGATCCAGCTTCGATCTCGTGGCTCACAGTGACCACACGCTGCAAGATCGGCCGAATATTAGACCCAGCCAGCCGCTGCTCACCATTACCTCGAGCGCATGCCAGCCCTTTTCGATTCAGTACATCAAAACTGATCAAAACTGGCGCACTTATGCCCTCAACAGGAACAACATATAAATCTGCCTCTAACAGACATACATGTCATTAGCAATGGGTTCTAAATTCGAAATGTAACGAGTTTGGTTAGATCTCACCGACATATCTTATCGCATCAATGATGCGATCGGCTGCACTGGAGTGCTCCAACCGCGGCACTCACGGGACGCTCTGGTGAAGACGGGGCCACTGAAGCCAGCCCCCTATGCTCGCCTTAAAATCGCGCTCGCATACTGCGCTGCCATTGCCGACGGCTGCTACAGGCGCCGCAGTCTCTGCCACAGCAGGAAGCACAGCCGCTCGGCTGCCTTCGTTGTGGCGAAGCCGGATAGTGTTGTTCCTCCGATGATGTTAATCTATTGTTCAAAGTTTGTTGCATTGTTTCGGTTAAAACATGGCAAGAAGGGCCGTGTCGTTCGTGACGTGAATTACGTTGTCTAGAATTTCAACTGCGATTACTCGAACGTCTTTTACTTTACCTCTTTTTATGAGGCATAACTTTCAACAGATATCTCAAATTGTATTAAGGTTTATTTCGAATCGAAGTATCAAAACTTAGGCAAAATAATGAAATGATTTGAGAAGTCACGACAAAGTAACAAAACGGAACCATTACCGTTTTACAAGTAAACTTTTCGCAAATAAACCTTCTAGTCACTGTTAAATAATAATAAAACTGGAACGTACTCACCAAAACTGTCGTTACAATTTACCAAAACATTTTATCCCAGTTTGTTTTACGAGGGTAGGCACCAAGGAAAAAATACGTCGTAGATTGTTTGAAAACTTAAAAACGTTTCATATCAGGATGTACGGATTTAAGACATGTAAGTTTTCGAATCCCTTTTCTGATGTAGGACAAGTCGGTATTTTCACTTGACTGTTCCATCTTTTACGTGGGTTAAACGGGCGACGGATAAGATTGATGAAATGACGAAATACGTTTTAAATCGACAAGACACTTCTTTAATGATTCGATAATTAACAATCACTAATTGAGTTATTCACTGATCACACACATTGTTTTCTTAAATGACGTTCCACCGGAACACGTGGGGCGCGTGCGCAACGTCTTTGCTTCAATTCGCTCAATGATGACTGACCCACGAGAAAATGGCCGCCTCCCCAGTGCTCGGTGTTACGTCAACTGTCAACGGTTGACAGCTAGGGTTTAAAAGAATGAACGAATGAATGATGAACGAATATAGACGATTGTGTTTCATGATTTCATAGACGCGCCGTCAGTTTTATTTTATAAACCATAAAATATTTTCCCATACGCTTACGCAACGTTCCTAAAACGCTGAACGAGCGATCGAACATTATCTCGTATACGTCGACTTATGTTACTTAAACAAATACTGTAACCGTTAGCCGCATTTATAGCCTGTGTATCGGCTGCCCGGTCGTTATTGCAGCAGTTAAGGATCCAAATCTACACATAAACATCTGATTATCTTACCGTTAGGCATTACAAGTACGACCTTGAAGCAATAATACATAGCTGATGGTAAACTCAACGCTTATCTTCGTAAAACAGTGCCTTACGCCATAGAAGGATGTCGTTTAAGGTATAATAATTTAGTCCAAATCAATCCATTGACAATATTTATGTTAAATTTATATTCGACTCAACTTAAAAGTAATATGATTAGGATCAATAAAATGAGTCTTTTCAATGTAAATTTAATTAAACAAATGTTTCAGCAACAATTTAAGTAAAAATAAAATTTATGGTAAATATTTCTTTCCACTATTTTCACATTTAGATAATATGATAGTAATCTTTATGTGTAAAGGCTTTTCCGCTCTAAAAATTCAATATTAAGAATCATAAACTGAACAGCAAATTAATATCAATACTACCATAATTAAACATCAACAAATAACAATTGTTGACAGACAAGTAACAAGATCCATTACTAAAAGTGGAAAGTAAAACACAAAAAAATCTCACAAACTGATTTGCTACGCAAACGGAACACTTTCATTTTTTATTTCTCAAGGGAAATCATCTCGAAACTTCTGTTATGAACGTATCTCGCTTCCCCTAGTTTTCCGTGGAACGAAGGTTATTCAACATGCAAAACGGCAGGGAGTATTTCGTCTTTAATACCTATACTAAAATTCGTATTTAATTCTACTCGTATTCAATTCGTCTGCTCCCAATAGTTCGCATGAAATTTGAAAGTGTTCTTGACTCGAAGAGATCGTACTCTTTATAGAAGTAAATTTTATCCAACGCTTATATTGGACTAATAACATAAAAAAGTTTGAAAACTACCGTGCTTGATCTTTTTAAACACAACATAAGATAAACATCATATGGCGTAGACATGTACAGCTGAAAACTATACAACTTCAATAATAGTTTCTTTAGAGCAACATAAAAGTTCTCTAGATCTGCAGACTCTATGGCCCTACGTACAGTTGCACGACAAGGACTACTCCATCTCAAAGCAAGATTCAATTGAAAACAGATATCAAAAAGCCAGTGGAATTTTATTTTAACGATACGATAGTGCGAGAATGACGATTATCCCACGGGATTGTAAAATTACAATATAATAATATCTATTAGCTTTATGTATAAGTATGTATATTAAGCTAATTGTAACTTTGTGAGATGATTTGTAATTACATAAGTAACGTTCAAACTTCTATATTATTTTGATTACTTAATCGTTTACAACATATATAAAACTAATGTCAGTAATTAATTTTAATTCTGGCATCAAAGCAAATAGAACCAGTTTTATATTTGATTTCAAAAATATATTTAAAATTCTAATTACCTACTTCTAATTAATGCAAAATGCAAAGCATTAGGAATATGTCACTTTTATTCCTCACTCACGCTAACGTTTAGTTAAGTTTGAATAATGCTTTAAATAATGAGTATAAAACAATTTAGGAAATTTACGCAATTATTGATTTATAACCAATATCTGAATGGTATTGCTATATATATTGGTATTGCTATGTTTACGTGACTATTGTTATTTATTCAAACTTTTCTAGGTGTTTTCTACAAATAAATGATTACGTTAACTGCTTCTAAAATAGAACATACAAAAGAAACATTTTAGTTTTAAAAAATTAATACTTATTTGTACTCTGAATGTATTGAAGCGGCGGAAGACCGTCGCAGCAGCGACCACAGGATTGCGCTGATGATTTTCAGTCGTACCAAAAGACTATGGAACGCACACAGTAGCGAATAGTATCTATATACTAGTAGTGTATCTATGTGTTATCTATATACGAATAGTATCTACTAGTATATAGATACTAATTCAACTGTTACAACAATAATGGTAATATACATGTTATGGTCACCCTAACTACCTTAAGAATGTAATTCAATTAACTCCACACTATTATACCACGATTTTACTTTATACTGCTATTATACTGGTAAAAGTTTATTATTATCTCACCGCGAGAAGGATGTTCATGCTAAAAACTTTAACGAGCGTCATACTTACTTCGTAAACTTGTTCTCTAGTTTACACTTGAATGCAGAAACTTGTTCCAATGAAACTAATTTACACGTAACCTCTAGCATTAAGCCCCTTAGCGGGCTGGTAACTTCGTCATTCAAGGATCTTACAATTATTTTACCCGACTATAAAATCGCAATTCAGTTACTACAAGTAGATCCTTCCTTACCTTCTTCTGAAAACTCGCTTTCTTTGTCTTTTATCTATGTTACACTTCTTGGGAGGCACAGTGTCTCCCCCTATCGTGTAACTTTCACCGTGTCCGTGTTCTCGTAAAGTGATTTGCGTTGTCATTCGTGATGCGTGTAAGAAAGATAACATACAATGGCCCCAGAAATATGTTGTTTGTTGCTTTGTAGCCCATTTTACCGAGATAAAAGCATTATATATATATATATATATATATATATATGATACATGAACATGCGGAGCTATTGCTATTAACGGCATCATTGCTACAACCATAAGAAACACGCTCAAATGAAACAAAAAAACAAGATCATGTTAAATTTTACCGCAATGAGAGAGAGCGATATATTATCAATCGTTTTTTTGCATGCAATCAAGTCAAGTTGCAAGAATTGAAACATATTGTATAGTTGCCCATTAACAGTTGCTAACAGTTGCGGAAACATCAAATTAACTAAATACACTATGAAAACCGTTTTTTTTTTTATGGAGAAAAGGGGCAAACTAGCAGGAGGCTCACCTGATGGTAAGTGATTACCGCCGCCCATGAACACCTGCAACACCCGAGGGCTCACAAATGCGTTGCCGGCCTTTTAAGAAAGAGTATGCTCTCTTTTTGAAGGTCATAACGGTTCGGAAAGACCGCCGGCGGCAGTTGATTCCACAGAGTGGTTGTGCGAGGCAAGAAATGCCTTAAAAATCGCGCTGTTGTGGAACGCTGGACATCGAGGTGGTGTGGATGAAATTTTTGGTTCTGGCGCGATGTCCGATGGTGGAATTCAGCCGCCGGGATCAATCCAAACAATTCCTCAGAACACTCCCCGTGATAAATGCTGTAGAAGATGCAGAGTGATCCAACATCTCTACGCAGAGCCAGGGGATCAAGCCGATCGGACAGACTTTGATCGTCGATAACCCTAGCCGCCCTACGTTGAATGTTATATGTTATGTTATATATCTAATATATATATATATATATCTAATATATATATATATATATCTAATATATATATATATATATCTAATATATATCTAACATAATACACTATGTTAGAAGAAGTTAGTAGAAATACGTTGTTTCTAATCCCAAAGTAAGCAATGCTTGTACTATGGGTACTAGATATCTGATAAACATACTTTTATTATGTAAATAAATATATAATAAAAATTATAAATATATAATCACTATGTTCATCACACAATATTCTTCCAGTAGTGGTGATCGAACCCACACGCCGAGGCAGGCTCACCACCCATTCCGCCCTGTAGTCCCGGGCTCATAGAATAGGACTAAGGTATCTCCTGTCTGTTGTAAAAGGCGACTAAAAACGGACACGGATTGGCAGCAGCTCGAAGTGGCCTCGAGCTGCTGCAAGATAGCGACAGAATTGGGCAAGGTTTTATCCTTCTCCGAGACGTGCTCACGCCCAGTGCCGAGGGACACCGGTGCGTTCCATAGGAGATCCCGGAGTCCCTCCAAAAGTGAGTAAAAACACCACATAACCCTGTCATATTATAACAGGGTATCTTTTGAAGATTTCCCCCCGATTCGATAAATAAAGAAAAAAGATTCACTACCCATTAGGCCAGTCGGGTCGTCAAATAATGACTTCCATTCAGGACATTGAGTGTATAATACGAATCGAATCAAATACGAAAATCGTGAATTTATTACGAATTTTCCCTTTTTTACATAACTGATACAATATCATGTGGATTAGTTAAAGCAGAAGTTTATTCTTCTGTTTTCACAATTATCGCAAAGAATTAAACTCGAATCATGACGTATAAATACGACGTTCAACCAAACAGCGTATTGGAAGTTATGTATATAATGGCTTATACGAAATATCACCGGGGTTGGAACATATATCAGAACCGATAGAACAACGAATTTGAGGGTCCATATTTCACCGGTAATGTAGGTCAGTTTGAACGTTACGTACTTTTGTTCGTCTGAAAAGAATCTGCCAGCTACGGATTAAGTTGTTTGATCTTATATTTCATTGTAGGCTGTGTTATGCTTAGTGAATTTCATGAAATCGAGTATGCAATAATCACAATGTTAAATATACTATCTTTAACATATACATATAATAAGATGGGAAAATATGTAATATAAGTGTTGCAAATATGTAAATAGCAAATTAGAAAATAAAATTGAGTCCCTTGAGAATTTTTACTAAGTTTTTTTTTTTTATGTGAGAAAGTGGCAAGGGATCTGGCGATTCACCTCATGTTAAGTGATTACTGCCGCCCATGGACATTTGCAACACCCGTATGGTTGCAAATGTGTAAAGTAAATCCATCTTTAAATTATTTGGGCCCCAGATACCTCACTCACCAGAAGAAACGCAGAAGACTTCAACTTTATACATATAGGTATAAAACTTATATCAGCGGATTATATGAAAGTAAGTGTTTTTGTCCACGTTTTTATTATTTTTATTATTAACAGTTGTGATCACATTTGTGTCTAAGTGGCTGTTGATATAGTCTTGGTAGTCTTAGATCGATCCGATATTTAAATCTCACAATAGGTTTTCCATGTTTTAGATTTCTTTCGGACATATTCCAGAATTGCAAATCACATTTGCGCCCAGCTTGTCTGCCACCTCATACGGTTTAAAA